GGGTCTAAAATGCAGCTTACCTTGGAACTTCCTCAGCATCTCCCTCATCCCAGGGATGCAGCACATTGTCTTCAGCCCCACAGGGATGGGCTCCGGTTCCAGCTGTGGGACACTCTTGCTTCTGAGAAGGGCACAGAACAGAAAGCTCTTAGGAGGGCTATCTCGACAACCACCTCGGCCTCTCCCAACCCCTTCTCTGATGCAGAAAGTAAACATACCGGCTCAGGGCTCCTCCCACACCCTGAAAGTGAAAGAGAAACACAAGCAGATGTGAGTCAGGCCTCCGAACTACTTTTGGCAGATCGGGGACACACCATGAACATCTCTTTAGGAATTATTGGAAATCATTAACTATTAAGATAAAACTACAGGACACATGAACCTCTCTTCATGAAAGCCAAAAACAGGCTGCTGTTGACTTTTCTCGTGAATTGAAAATAATGTAATCTGTTAGCCTCAATTGCAATAAAATCAGACTACACAGAGTTGAGGTTAATTTCTCTATCTACTGATTTAACTATTTACTGAATTAATAATTCTGACATTTGACTTTTTAATGAAGAGTGACACTCTGTAAGTGGACTTAGGGTAAAAATAGATTCCAAATATCTGCAGAAATTTATCTGAGAAACAGTGAAAGGTACAGATGTAAAATGCCACTCTCATTGTCCCTGTAAGAAAACCCTAAATTCCTCATTCTTGGAACCAACATACCATATCTTTGGACTCATATGTGATAAAATAAAGATAAAAGTCATTAATATCTAGCAACATTTTATCTTAAAATAGATTATTAAATAATTCACCTGTATTATGTTTCCTCGATCCCTCTAAAAATAGCCACCTGTCAAATTAATTTTGACGGGGCATGAAAACAAGGAAATTATCATCTTTACCTTCCATGGGAATGATAAGGCTTTGTGTTTGGCCATTAAGGGGAAAATGTAACTTATTGGTACTGAAGAAGAAAGGGAAAAGAGCGTATGAAAATGAAAATAAATTATTTGCAAATATATTCTCCCTAAGATTTGTATTATGAAACATTTTAACATTCATTCAGCCCTAATAAATGTTCATTTGAAATCAGTTGTGCTTTGAGATGTGATGAAACAATGAATGTTATTGAAAATGCCAAAGTTCTTGGGTTTATGTACTCTCTGAAATTTAGAAAATGTATTCCTGTCTGTCAGCTCGCTCACTTGGAAGTGGGCATTGCAAAAATAATAATAATAAGGTTTACTGATATATAGATCTGTTGAAGACAAAGAGGGACAAATTATATAAAAATGCTTTGTAAATTCATTCATTTAATACCACTCCTGCCCAACATTGTGACTAGAAGCTATTAGTCACAATACTTGTATGAATTACTTAGTACTTGTATGAATTACTTAGTTCAAAAATCCTTAAAGGAGTCATTGGGGATCAGATATAATAAAATGTGCCCAGAAATTTCTATTGCAGTGAATTCTATCATGATAGCATGCATTCAGTAATAATGATGACTTTCTCAATTCACTTGGGATTTAATGCCTTCGGGGATGATTAAAAGGAAATATTTCCTTTTCTCTGTTACTTTCTGTCTGCTCTATAATCTCAAATACATTATGAGCAAGCTGCATGGAGCCCAAGGAATCGCTCCCCACCCAGCCTGGAACGGGCAAGACAACAGGGCTAGAAAATTAGCATTTGCCTTAAAAATTAACAATGCACATTTCAAGGTGAACAATTTAAAATGTTACTCCTACTTGTAGCCATTGACACTAAAACAGCTGAACAAGATTTTTGGCGCTGGCCATCACTGAAATACAGCAGTATTATCACTGACAGACTGTGAGGTTTTAAGAAGTGTTTTTCAGGCAGCATGCTATAAATTGTCCTTTTTTATTCAGTTTAATATTATGTAAATCATTAACTTTAGTTTTAAAAATATTTCAGTTTTTGTC